CAGTTCATTTTATTTAAAATCCTAGTTGTGCAGGGTGATTCTTCAGTCACTAGTACAATTATCTGAATTTTGAGAAATATTAAATAACTGATGTTGATATAACTGTATTAAGAAACCAAAGGCCAAAAGAGAAACCAAAGTGAATGAACAAAATTGCTCTTAGTAAACAGCAAAAGAGTTCTTTTGTATTTGGGGATAAATTCTAAACAATAAAACACAGGAGTTTTTTTTTTTTTTTTTTTTTTTTAAGATCACCTGATTTGTTTTTTAACCAGGCTTTCAAGCTACAATGTAATCTTTTAAAATTATAGGTAATTACAAAAAGGCACATTAAACCTCAGTTAATCACAGTTGTTTCAAAAATATGTCCCTTTTCTTAACAAAGCAGTAACCCAGCCAGAACTTGGATAAACTGGCATTTCCCTAGATCACATGTTTCATTCCTAAACACAATGCCCCTTGTGTTTCTTTCAGGTGTCCATATTTTCTCTGAAAAATAGATCTCCCCTTCCAAAGCCTGAGCATTATCTGCTCTTTGTTTGAAAATAAGTGCATTGTTCATGTGTGGACTAGTAGTGCAGGTGTTTTACCACTCTTCCCAGTCAGGTTGATCCTTAAGCCTTCCATGAAATCAGTTCAGTTTAGTTAAATCTCCAACATCCACTTTTCATTGTCATTTCCCTTTATGGTCATAATATACACCCTACCCAATGCAACACGATCATCTTTCATCCCATTATGTTTACATTTTTAATTAATACTTCCAGAAATGTCAACATTTTGCTTCTTTCTCAGTGAAGCCTAAACTCCAGGGCAAGGCCAAAATTTAGATCAAGCATTAGCAATCCAGGTTGCTTTCATTTTTTTTAAAAAATTCCAACTACTGCTTAATGTACCCAGATTTGCTCCTGTCACTACAAAGTGCTATCTGAAAGCTTTGCATGAAATTAAACTCCCTGAAGTGTAACCAAACTGAATAAAGCCACAGAAGCGTGTATTGAAGCAACTCTTTTCCTGAGTGGGGTATGTGAAACACTGACATTCTTAACACAGCAAGGATAGGTATTGGGTGTCAGGTAACTGATTCTCTCTTCTAAAGTATAGGGTTTCAACCCCTCACTTTATTTTCAAACAAGCACTTTCATGCTATTCTTTAGAGAATGAAGAGGGTATAATCTTAGATCACTAGGCAAGCTATAGCTGAGAAAGGGAAAGGGGTGGAGGAACAGAATTACTTAAATACTTCATTTTTCAGGGCAAAGATTGTAATTGATATTACTTATCAAAGTATTTATTTCTTCCTAGCTTTGTAACATGAAGTTTCAAGCAATTTATTATTGTCATTCATGTCTCTAGATTTTTTTTTGCTTAATCCCTCTTTTCTGTCCTTTACTGTATTGAAGTGTGCTTCAGTAAAACGTAGTGTATTGTTTTAGGTTTCATTATTTTTATTGCTTTTATGGCTAAGAGTTTTTAAAATTTCATCTTCCCATTGTAAATTTAGAAAGTTTATATGAAGACAGTGAATAATTAGTAGAGAACCTAACTCTTATTTTCTAATTGCAATTTACTTAACACAAGAATGTGCTCAATGCTTTGTTGATTAAATGAAAAATGTAGGGCTGAAGTTATGGCTTAGTGGTACAGTGCTTGCCTAGCATGTGTCAAGCATTGGGTTTGATTCTCAGCCCCATATAAATAAATAAAATAAAGTCTATTGACAATTTAAAAAATTTTAAAAAGAGCAATTAAAAAAAGGAGAATGTACCACATTTATTTGTACTGCATAATGTTTTTGTTCAATTTACCAAGCATAATAAATATTGACTTAATTGTGAAACATAAGAGTTCCTATACACTGTTGTAACTTCATCTTCAAAACAAGTGCACATTTCTTTAGTTGCTTATAAAAGTCATTTTCTATGAATTAATAATCAATTTAAAATTTGGGTTATTTTTTTTTTTCATTCTGGGGATTGAACCCAGGGATGTTTTACCACTGAGCCATATCCCCAGCCCTTGCTATTTTATTTTGCAATGACGTCTTGCTAAATTATTGAGGCCGGCTTTGATCTTGTGATCCTCCTACCTCAGCTTCTCTAGTAGCTGGGATTACAGGTGTGCACCACTGTGCCTGGCTCAAAATTTATTTCACTTTATATTTTATAACTGATAATTTTATAGGAAACTTTAAACTGAGATTGATATTCATATTTATACTAGTAAATCTCTATAACACCATGGTTCATATGCATTTTTTTTTTTTTTGTACCAGGGATTGAACCCAGGGGCACTTAACCACTAAGCCAATCCCAGCCTTTTACTTTTGTATGTTATTTAGAGACAGGGTCTCACTGAGTTGCTTAGGGCCTTGCTAAATTGAGGCAGGCTTTGAATTCATGATCCTCCTGCCTTAGTCTCCTAAGCCACTGGGATTACATGCCCAGCTGGTTCATATGCATTATAAGATAGAAGTCAGCACAAGGAGGTGCCATGCCTCTGGCCTTAAAGCAGGTATTAATTGATGCATTTCAATGTTTAAAAATTTTGATATTAATGACTGAAGTGCATTTGTAAAACATAATCACAATATGGAAACTATGCTCAAGCATCATCTCTTGAGACTTCCTGTAACTATGTTTGGAAACAGACCATATATGTATGCTTGAGCCAGTGATTTCAAAACTCCTATTTCCTGTCCCTTGGGGAATCTATAGAAAGGTCTATCCACAACATACATGGGAAATAGCACTCTGAATACCCATGCTTGAGGTAGAGAAAGGGAAAAATACTCTACTTTTTCAATATCTTGTAGTTAAAATTTTCAAATCAATTTATTCAGATTTGTTTTTTAGAGAGAGAGAGAGAGAGAGAATTTTTTTTTTAACATTTATTTTTTAGTTTTCAGCGGACACAACATCTTTGTTTGTATGTGGTGCTGAGGATCGAACTGGGCCCCACGCATGCCAGGCGAGCGCGCTACCGCTTGAGCCACATCCCCAGCCCTATTCAGAATTTCTAAAGAGTTTTTCCGACTTTTTTTGTGTGGGTGGGGGCTACCAGGGATTGAACTCAGGGGCATTCCACCACTGAGCCACACCCCCCAGCACTGTTTTGTATTTTATTTAGATACAGGGTTTCATTTAGGGTCTCATTGAATTGTTTATCACCTCGCTTTTGCTGAGGCTGACTTTGAACTCATGATCCTCCTGCCTCAGCCTCCCTAGCTGCTGGGATTACAGGCATGCACCATCACCCCTGAGAAGTTTTTCAACTTTAATTAAGAAATAATTTGCACATAATAAACTGCATCATTTAAAGCATACAATTTGAAGAATTTGAATAAGTTTTTATGCCCCTGTGAAGCCAGTACCACAATCAAACTATAGAACCTCCTAGTCCAATTCTGTATGTTCCTTTTCGCGGG